TTCGCCTCAGCCGCGAACCCGCGCCGCGCCGCGCCGCGCCGGCGAGCGTCTCTGCCGGAGCTGCGGCCGCGTGGCTCCGCCCTGCCGGCGTCTGGGGCCAGGAGGGTGCGGCTTCCGCGCTGGCTGCCGCTGGCCGGCGCTGGCAGGGCCTCCCGGGTCCCTTGGGTGTCTCCGCCCGTCTTCGAACCCATGTGTTATGGTCGAGGCTCTCAGACCTTAGCCTCTAACCGAAGGTTCGAGTCTAACCTGCCGGGATCACGCGGCTCTATTAGGCTTGGAGCGCCGCCCTGACTCAGCGAGACCCAGAACACACCAGCTTAGTGTGCCCGGCTGTGTCTAGTGTCTGAAAACACTGTCCTGGAACTCAGTCCGGCCCATTTTCTACTGATGTAGGCCGGAAAATACACTGCGGTTCGTTTTTATTCTGAAACTATTATAGTCCTACTGTTACTACGATCATTCCAGGATCATTCCAGGTACTACAAATCCTTAAATTAATTATGGTCATTGTTGGATCTTATCAGGTACTCCATGGAGGTGCCTGAGATGGGTGTAGAAGCCAGATGTTGATCTTTGACCTTTTTAGATAATACCAAGTGCTGGAAATAAGGCCAGTTTTTAAACTTAAGGGTACATCAGAATTGCTGGAGAGCTTATTAAAAAAAAAAGATTTCTGACACCATCCCTAGAGTGTCTGGTGGGCCTAATAATTTGCAATTTTAAGAAGTTCACAGATGCTGATGCTCCTGCTACTAGTTCGGGGACCACACTATGAGAACCACTGAACTAAGGCATGTGAAATAGTTTATTTATTAAATATTAAATATTAAAGTGAAAAATGGAGAAATAAATGCTTCTTGGGGAGGAAGGGCAGCTTTACTTCTGTAAGCTTAGGGCCTACAACAGTGGTTCCACTAGGCACTCAATAAATATTGAATGAATAAATGAATAAAGATAAGAGTAAAATGTTGTAAGTGGAAAGTAAATTTGAAAGGCAATTTGAAACTGGCTGCTAGGTTTACAGTAAGTAATATGCTTTTGATGCTGAGAGGTGCTTTGAATAGAAAACATTTTGTAATAGGTAATAATATTTGTTTAGAAGTTTATATTTCATGCACTTCTTTCACTTAACCAATTAGTAGAGTATCCTATCAGAAAAATATCATAAATACATCACCTTCGTGAAAACTACTAAAATTGTGGTAGCAAAAAAGAAAATAAGACACTGGGAGTGAGTCATTCAGTGGAGGCACATGGCAAAAAAGAGTTTATTGAACTCATGTCCCAGAACCAAGAGGGGGATTTTAATTCCAGCTTTCCTCTATACCAGCTCTCTTCGCCAACCTTGGTTTCCTCTTCTGCAAAATAAGAAAGCTAGATGAGATGATCTCTTTCAAGATTTAAGAGTTTAGAATTCTGAAGCATCATCTTGAAACGTTTCCCAAAATGGACTAACAAACTATAAAACACTTCCAGCAGAGCCCCCTACTGGTCCTAAGAGGAACCAACTATACATGTGGGTCATGGCCCACGAATTATTGATATAATTTATAAACCATGCAATGCTATGTGTTTTGGTGCCAATAAATTAAAAATAATTATTTTGAAGTGTGCAAAATTTTTTGAGTACTTTATATTTATCACCTTCATTTCAGTCCCCAATATTAATCTTGGAATTTCAAAAAAATGTTCAACACCCAAATCAGAGGGAAACTAGTTAGGAGGGTATGCTGATTTCTTTGTTGGAGAGAGGTTTGGTTTTTTAACTGCGCATAATAATTAGCCTTGAAATTCCACTTTCAGTCCATTTTTACATTCTTTCCAGAGAATGAGGCAGCTGTATATTAACTCATAACTCATATGAGAAAATCCTGAAAATACATTTTAAGGGGAAAAGAGAACTATGCTAAAAGCAATGTGGTATCCTGGATTGAACCCTAGAACCAAGAGGACATAATTAGTGAAATCGGAGTAAATGCTGTAATTCAGTTAATGGTATTGTAGCAAGGTTAATTTCTTAGTTTTGACATGGTGCTATGGTTATGTAAGATGCTGACATTAATAGAAAAGAGTAACGAGTATATAAGAATCTCTGAAACTTTTCTGTAAACCTAAAATTATTCCAAAATAAAAAGTTTACTTAAAAAAAATCACTATTCAGTCCACATTGCGTATAGTATACCGCCATGTGTGAGGGAAGAAGGGAATATGCTGGTGTATATGCTGAATTCATAAAATATCACTGGAAAAATACCTAAGAAACTGACAGAAGTGGTTATCTCTGAGAAAGCAACTTAAGGGCCTTGGGGAAAGCAAAGTGGGAGACTTTTCAGCATGTATCCTATTGTATATTTTACCTGTTCAAAACTAAATTTTTAAAAATGGGTTTCCAGTAATGCAGATTATAAGATCTTTACTATTACGATCTAGTTCTGATTATTTCATTAAATAATTAAGCAGATATTTATTGAGTGCCTACTATGTGCTAGGCATGATCTAAGCCCTAGAGGCATATCAGTGAAGGAGAACCCCCCCCCAAAAAAAAACCAACCCTGGAATTGTCAGATTTATATTCCAGCAAGGATAAGGAATACTCATCTCAAAGTATAGTCTACAAACACCTGGGGGTCCCTGAGATGTTTTTCAGGGATCAGTCCGCAATTCCCAAACTTATCATAATAAACCTAAGACATTATTTGCCTTTTTACTTTGTTAACTTATGCACTGTTGACGTAAAAGCAATAGCGGGCAAAAAGTTTTACTTCACTGGTAATAAGTTTATTAATGCCACACACTTTTAAAAATGCCAGTTTCACTTCAGAATGATTTTGATGAAGCAGTAGAAATGATTACTTTTATTAAACCTCAACTTTCTAGTACATATCTTAATATTCTGTATAATGCATGGAAAGGCTAAGCACTTCTGCTGCATCCCAAGTTCATGGTAAAGCTCTTGTGCAAATGGTTGAGTTACAAACTGAACTTAGCCACTTTTTCCATAGAACACCATTTTTACTTGAAATAATGATTAAGACAAACTATTAAGAGTTGAGTATTTGGCACACATTTTATCAAAAATGAACAAGGTTAAGCCTATCACTTCAAGGAAAACAACTGTTAGAATTTGTTGAAAACGATAAAATTCAAGCTTTCAACTGAATGAATTAGAGTTTTAGAAAACATCTCTCTCACTGTGACTTGACGGCTTTTCAATATGCTTAAAGACCTTTCTGATTAAATTGGTGATGATATTATGGTGGTATTATTATGATTGTGAGAAATTGTACAATGAAGTATGTCAACGTTTGGAAGATCTGCATAAATTAGTGAGCCAATAGTTTCCAAATGACCAATGCACGATGTTACAGAATCATGCGTCGGTGTAACATCCATTCCATGTTCAAGACAGACCAGTGGATTTCAATGTCACCAAGTACAAAAAGTTCATTCATAACATTTCAGATTCCATATTGCAGCCAACCTTTGAAAAACTACCATTTGTCTAGATTTACTGTAGTATTAAAGAAGAATATCCACAGTCATCTGAAAAAGTTATTGAACTATTCCTTGCCTTTCCAACTGTATCTGGATGAGTCTGGATTTTCTTCATGTACTTCAATCAAAACAACACATGCAACATATTGAATGCAAAGGCGTATATGAAAATCCAGCTGTGTTCTATTAAGCCAGGCATTAAAGAGATTTTGTTTTGGAAAATGTAGTTATTTTTCACTAAAGTTATACTATTTATGTAAGCATGTAGTGGATTTGTTATAGTTATTTATTAATAAATGTTTTAATAATTTCTGTTTTATTTCTAATACAGTGTTGTTTAACCCATATAAACAAATGTTTTTTGGAATCCTAAGTATTTTTGAAGAGTGTAAAGGAGTCCTGAATACGTTGGAGTATATTGTACTACTTAGGCATGAGGTTTAGATCTAAAAAGTTTCCCACTTTCAGAATATATAATTTAAGTAAACATTATTTATGTGAAGGTTATAAAGTTGGTTTTAGATGGACAGAGGAAAGTTCATCTGGTAACTCTTCTGTTGTCCCTAACAAGAACAATGTGTTTTGATGTGTTGATTCATGTAAAAAGAAACGTGACGAGGCATAATTGTGCTTTGCTGACCCCTGATAATAATCGCCAGCATTTGAAATGTGCAAGTCTTCCTTTTTGTTGCTCCTGCTAGTTACTATTACTGCTCTGCAGATTCAAATTTCCTGTTCTTCTAAATGCAGCACAATTTTTTTTTCCTACAGCCCTTTCCTGACCTTGTGTTTTGCCAGCTTTTTGAGACTTTTTTTTCCTCTGTCTCTCACCACTGCCTGTTCTATCCAAGCCTCTCATTTAACTCTCCTTTCAAAACACCCAGTCATAAGGCTAAGGTCATTTTGCTTTTTTCCCCTCTCTTTAACTGAGTTCTGCCCTTCCCATCTTGTTAACTCCTCTCCCCTACCCACCCCAGCTGGGGTGAGGAGCTCTAGCAGCAAGAGTAGAAAGCAGCACTTAGATCCA